GCCGTACATCCAGAGCCCCGTAGGAGCTGACACTGAGAACGGTCTCCGCGTGAGTTTCAAGTAATGGGTTTCAATGGGTCAGTAATATCCACATGCAGTCCCATCGTTTCACCATCACAGCAGGGGGGGCAGTGCAGTGACATCACAGGCCTCTCTGTGAGAGCACAGAGGAGGAAAAAACAATCAAACAAAAAACAAAACATAAACACAACTTAATGTAACACTAACGACATTCACAGAGATATTCTTTTTTTTTACTATTTATTTGATTTACTGAGAAAAAAACATGAGCTTGAGAAAACTCACTTTTTTTTCGAAAGTACACAATATTTTTTTTTTACTATTTATTTGATTTACTGAGGAAAAAAAACGAGCTTGAAGAAAACTCACTTTTTTTTTCCGAAAGTACACAATATTTCTTTGTAAACCTTTATTATCACTGACTGGATGTGAAAAAGAAAATTGAACAATATGAGGGATGTTAAAACAAACCGAAAGGTCATCAAGGTCAAGGTCTTTTATTTTGTGTAAAACAAACCGAAAGGTCATCAAGGTCAGGGTCTTTTATTTTGAAACTGAAAGCTGCTCTTCTACCTCCTCTGTGGACCTTTTCACATTTTAAAGACTTTTATTTTGACAAGACTTCCTGTGTGTCATGTCCAGTTAATGACCTGCTACTGGACTGGGACCCGGTGGTCGAGGACCTTTGCTGTAGTATGTGGTCAAAGGAAGCTAGTTATTCCAGATGAAACCCTCTTTACCACTGAATCCAATAAAAGCCCCTTGTAAAACAGGGCGACTCTCCAAATGCCTCGTGGGGCTTTAATGAGGGTGAAACGATTGTTCAACCAGGAACACCTGGGGTAATTAATTCCAGACACGGGGATGTCACATTTGGTTAAACACGTGGGATGGTGCTGTTAGGGAACGTGCTGTACACTTTCTAACTCCTGACCTACTTTCTGCTGTCTTTGAGAGAATCTGATATCAGGATTGGACAAATGCATTGTGGGAGGGAGGTAAACAGCCGCCTCTTCTTTGGAAACACTAGCTGACATCAGACGCAGCAGCGTTGGCTTCCTGGCTTTGTGAGTCATGAGTCATGCCTCATGCCTCATCTCGCTCCCATACCTGGGAGGTGAAGGTGGTACGCACAGATAACGTTTGGGAATAACAGCGGTCTGCAGTCACCTGGTGTGACCTGACTGTGGCGCTCACTGGAGCTTTCTGATCAAAAATATATCGCAATATATCGCATCGCTGCCCCCGTACTTTCGACAGATTCTCATCAATCCTCAGCTCCATCTCTCAGTCTGTTAATCACGATCTCCAGTCAGACGGACCAGAACTGAACCGTGAGAGTGAACGTTATCTCCAGGACTCATTAGTGAAGTCAGCGTCTCTTGTCAAAGGCTGCAGCTGATGATGGATGAGTCTGGGCCACATGTTTGTCTCCGAGTCTGATGAGGCTCTCGTTGCTCTTTTTTTCTCCCTTTTAAAGTGTCACCCGGGGCTTTTGTGTCTCCCACTGATGTTCTTAATGTTCCATCCCAGATAATTACGTACAGCGCTGTCAAAATACTTCATTCTGGTGTATATATACATTTACAAATACTCCCCTCGTCTACAGAGAACCAGAAGATCATTCTCAACAACTCCAAGTCTCTTCCAGCCATCCTGGGATTGTTCTCTAGCCCCTTCCAATGTTTTTTTTTTTTTTACATTTTCGTTTTCATTAATTGAAAAAGTCTCGTTGCAACTGATTGGTCCACAGGGTGTCACATGTTGATCAGTGTGACGGTGTGAGTGTTCCCACTCATGACGGTCGATGTTGTTTGACAACATCTGTTTGAACTTGTCAAAATCACATTCATGATCACTGTGTGGCAGCGACTGCTGACCACAAACATGCAGTACCTGTTGTCCTGTACGCAGTACTGAGGAGTACATGAGCAGTACTGAGCAGTACATGAGCAGATTACTTGTAAATATGTAAACACCGCATTTAACATTTACATCTGTTTAGACAAAAATAGAGAAAACAAATGTAAAAATGTATTCACATTTGAAATCATTTTCTTTATTACCTCCAAGGACCCTCTAGGGGTCACGGACCACCTTTTGAAGACCTTTGGTTTATAGTGTCCCCCCCCCTAAACCCACACAAACCCTGCACATGCATTTACAAAAACAAATCCATACATTCTCTCTCATGTTCTCTGGCGCCCCCCCAAGGTGATGAATGAAAGTGAAAGCGATTTATTTGTCATCGTGACACAACAAAATATGACCTCAGCATTTAACGACAACCATAGTGAGCAGTGGGCAGCTCAAATGCCCAGGGAGCGGAGTGTGGGGAATCAAACCTGCAACCTTCCGCACCAAACTCTGCTTCATAACCACTTACAATTTTTTCAAAATACTGCACTCATATCTTTTCCACGAGAAAACGCCGTACAGATTTCCTGTAGTTGATGGTAGTTACTGAAAGGAACCTGCTCAAGGGCTCCCTCTACTGTTTCGTCTCATACTAATCAACACCACTAGTCATTTTATCTCATCTTTAATCTCTGTTTCTTTTTCACTTGCTTCCGTTCACGTTGTGTGTTTTCTTTGAGCTGAACTCTGTCGCTCCGACAGGCCAAACTATTTACTAGGTAAATATCGGCGGTGAAAGTCTACACCGCTGTCCCACCGCCAGAACAGGAAACGTGAATGAATTACACCCAACGAGACGCCGCGTCCTCCTCTGTGCCCTCGTTTTCTCCCACCTTCTCTCTCTCTCTCTGATTCACTCGTTTGAATTATTCTCTCTGTCTCTCTCTCTCTCTCTCTCTGATTCACTCATTTGAATTATTCTCTCTGTGTTTCACCCTGGCAGAGGAGTAAAATGGCCGACCGCTTCGACTGCGACAACTGCAAAGAGTCGCTGTACGGCCGCAAGTACATCCAGTCGGACGACAGCCCCTACTGCATCCCCTGTTACC